GGTAACATTAACACACACACACACACACACACACACACACACACACACACGTTAGGTTTTTGTGAACTTTGAGGACTTTCCATAGACTTTTATACTGACCATTTTCTATCCCCTAACCCAACCCTAACACTAAACCTATACCCTTACAGAAAACTTGTTTGCATTTTTACACTTTCAGGTAAACATTATTTAGTTAGTATTGTTTATTTTTTTCCCCCCCCCCCCCCCCCCCTCGTACAAGCCAATCCCCACAATTTCAAAAAAATTCAGGTTTTACTATCCTTGTGAGGTCATTTGGTCCCCATAACTTAGGGAATACCATACACAACAAAAACAACAACAACTATTATTATTATTATTATTATTATTATTACAATTAGCTACATTAATATTAATAACCGTTTATTTCAATAATCTAATCTCGAGACTAGGAAGCTGGCGTAACATCTTAACATAGGAAACTAGAAGTTTGTCAACATCATAGACGATACTCCGATTTAATCAAATATATTTGTACACAAGGAAAATGTAACATTATACATTATTGAAAGCTTTCTTCGGAGTTAAGCAGAACATTACGTCAAGCCCAATCATTTTAAAATCGAAGTGATGTTATTAAAAGGCTCTAGTCAGTGTTATAGTGTGTATCAAATGATTAAATAAGCGTAAGATGAAGCCAGAGTCAGCAGTTTTCAAGCACAGAACAATATTCTGCAAATGTTTTCTTACAGAAATAGGCAAATTATATGAAGCTGTAGGTAATATGCTAAACGTGCAACTGGGTGTATTTCGTAAACCTTTCATAGGCGGAGTTTTATGCGTGGGGTGGGGGCACCCACTGGCAGACGAGCCACGAGCACTTTTTTATATGTTCTACATTTCATGTATTTATGTAACACATATTCTACATTAAAAAGAAATTTAGAATGAACAATAACTGCTGTACAAAGAGTAACATAAATAAATAAATAAAAAACAATGCAGAAAAGCCGCCTCTTTTTCCGAATTGCGTAGATGACCACTATTTTTCTTTCATCTCTTCTGATAAATTTTCAGTCAAATCGTTCTATGTGTGCTAGATCAGACTTTTTTACGCCCCTCGGCTTCGGGCCAATTTTCACGTCATAGCTCAGAAGCGGGCCGGGCCTCAGGCCTGTTTTAGGCTTCTCCTTATTTTTAAATATTAGACATCCATCAATTAGTGTTGAAAAAAATTGCTACGCTGGTGGAGACAACACGTGCGACCGCGACTGTCAAGAGCGGCTCGACGGGGTTTAGTGTCCAGCAGCAGCATGGTGCGTGCCGTCAGCGCAGCTGAACAGTTCTGCGTTCAAATGCACGCAATAGGCTAAAGCTTGCAGCAAAGCATCGGCAAAAGTAATTACCACCAATGTGTCAGAGGGAAACAGTAAGGAGATATTTGAATGATTTACTTATAGTGTTTTCTGAGTCGGTGTCGCAAGGATGAATTTGCCTGACTCGCCATCTCCTCATTAGACGCGCCTTTAGAGAGAAGTGCATTTTTATTATGATTATAATGAAAGAGTTTTTGTTTTTGATTTTTTGATTTCGTTAAGTAGTAATTTAAAGCTTTCTATAGATATACACTGAACAAAATTATAAATGCAACACTTTTGTTTTTGGAAGAAAGGGGCGGGTGAGCAGAGCTCATTAGCATTTAAAGGGACATGCCCCAAAATGAGTCGCTGTGAACAGAGCAAGGTAAAAAGGGTGTTGTTTTACACGACCACTGAGGAGTTCATGAAGGCCCTAAAGTATCATATCAACTTGTGGAAGATCAATGTCCCCTTTGAAGCACTGCCACCACAAAATCAGACTTACTTTGAGATCATACTGAGGTTAAATGCCGCACGCGCATCCATGTATAACTCTTCTCATAGCTATAGTATGTGAAAATAAGTGTATTCACTGAGCTGATGATCTGAATGAGAGAGAGAGAGATGCAAAGCGTGTGCAGAGCAGGGGGACACGAGGAACAGGATTGAAAACCGCTGCTTTAGAACATTCACAAACTTGTGAATCCATTAGAATCGTTAGAAGACAGAATCGCGATTCATAGGCTATATGAATAGATTTTTACATGCACCTCTAGTTTTCTCTTCCTCTTCTCTAAAGCAGCGCAGCAAGGCCTCGCCCCCTTTGCTGCCTTTTCCCGAGGGCGGGGTTTATCAGGGTTTGTTATGTCACGAACCCGGGAAGTAACTTGTTGTAGTCCCTACCAGCCGTTTTTGTAGG